AAACGCTCGTTCTGGAGACTTCCGCGGCTCACTTTTGAAGGAAGTCTCGCACAAAGCGCTCGTTCTGGAGACTTCCGCGGCTCACTTTTGGAGGAAGTCTCGTACGACACGCTCGTTCTGGAGACTTCCGCGGCTCACTTTTGGAGGAAGGGAAGTCTCGTACGAAACACTCATTTTCACTAGCAAATGCTACCTTCGAAGCACTACCGAATGATGCGTGTTCCAAAATGAGCCGCGAAATTGGTCTCACGCTGCAGTCCCGGAGAGTTTTCTTTTCGTCTGGGTTCCAAAATGAGCCAGGTTCCAAAGTGAGCCGTTTCTAGGTTCCAAAATGAGCCGTGTACCATATATCACGAAAGGTAGCTTGAGCTACCTGAGTTCTCCTTGCTTTAGCAAAAATGTATTACAATCAGGAGTTGGGATTGTGCATTGAATTTGGTCCTGTAAGAGTTGATTCTGTTCGTCGGGGGGGGGGGCCCCCCCCCCCCCCCTGGATCAAATCCCCCCTGCGCCGGTTCACGCCGTCGTGGACTTCTACCAGGGTTACTTGTGATTGCCTGCTACCTTTCGTTCACCCCCTCCTCTCTCAAGTTTTTTATATCGTTTCTAAATTGATTATATGCCAGTCCCTATGGAGTGTTGAGGTCCCTTGAGGTTGCCTTTTACACTGTATATAGATGTTTTTGGTGTGTTGTTTGGATTGTTGTTTTCTCAGAGGCGTCGTTGTTCCAACAGCCTTCGATTGATCCCGATGAGGCCGTTCCTCCTAAGGAGGATGGCGCCCGTAAGCGGGGGCCAGGAGCTTAGGACAGAGCGTCCTCCGGGGTTGGTTCGGTCCGAGTTACCCAACAAAAGCAATCCAATATTATACATCTTAAATAGACTCTTGATTAATAACACCCCCCCGACATTGGATTGAAACACCTCTTCATGTGGCGGGGGTGAAATATCATCAAGAGTCAGCATGAGTTGGAACAAACAATCCAACATCTTTGAAACACCTGAGACCAAGCGCAAGGACTGTGCGTTTCCGTCCGAAAAGCAGAAGACGTGGTTTCCATGGTTGGTTTGGTGAAGGGAAGAAGGGAAAAGATGAAGATCATAGAGTCACTTGACCCACAATTTCTGACTTTATAAAGTCTGAGCGAGACATCGCTGTTGGCCACTCTTATCCATTATATTTCCCAATTTAGGACATATGTTTAAAACCACACTAACACCATGAATGACTAAAACGCATAAATATGCATACATATGCAGTCTCAGTCTCGGCTTGACCGGGCTGTCCAGTCACCTCGATCTATTGTCGGGCTGATGTAGCGGGGTCTACCAGCTTGAGGCCGAGGACTGGGCCTCGGCCTTGTTGTTTTTCATGTGTTTTTTTCCAAATCAAGTTGCGCTTGACGTTTATAGTTTTTAATCGGTTTGCTGGGGAGTTCGAGGCCCAATGTAATGGCCTTCAAGCCCATAATGGGCTATATCCCAAGTATCAAGTAAGTTTGATGCCAATACAATGCCGTGCACATACCCATGCGGTGCGGATCCAGAGGTGCCCATGCTATGTCCGATTGCCTCCTAAAAACAGGTGATGGTCTGTGAGCTTGGGCATCTCAACCTGGCCCTTGGCCCTCTATGGCCTTGGGCCTCCCCGAGGCGTCCGTACGCGCTGCAGTGCGGCTCGGAAGTCTTCGTGGAGCACAAGGCGAGGAAGTGCTGCGTGGTCGATTCCAACGGTCCAACGGTACCCCCAGCCTGGCAGGTTCGATGGCAACGGTGGCATAGTCCCTAGGGCTCCGACCAATGCTCCAACCAGGGCGGTAGTTAGACCCCGAGGGCACCTACCATAACTACCATCTTCGAAACGGAGGTAGGCCAGGAGCCCCCAGGGTTTACAGCCTGACTGCCCTCATCAATCGTGTTGTGGAACCGATGGCGGTTTCCCTCTCATCATGTTCCATCCGAGCGAGCGCTAGCGCTGGCTGACTCTCCAGGTTTGAATGCATCGAATGTCATGAAAAACACTGGAGGTCTGAGTCTATCACAGGTTTATGACCACAGGAGGTTCATTACAGAAAGAAAGAGGTTCATTGTACAGTAATTATTACTGTAATTCAATTTGGAAAGAGGTTTATTACACAGGAGACAGCAGTAAGGTTTATTGCCACCTAAGAGACCGACAATGAAAGGAATAAGTTGATTGACGGTAGTTTATATTTGTATGTCATTGGTACTCGTAAGGGAAACCCTTTGCCAATGCATTACTTTAAAGAATGATGGAAGAAAGACTTTGATAGTTTTTGATCGGCTAGAATATTTGTTCTTGATATTGATTTCTAATTACTAACTACGCCACATAAACTCAAAAGCAGGTGTACTATTGTAGAGGAGTAAGTCAAGTTTATATAATTGTCTTGACAATATTTAGTTAAAAAGAGTTGATACTATCTACTTTATAGTTATATATTTGTGGATTAAATAATGGAATGGGTTTATAATGGTTTCTCCATTTTCAACCTACTCAACAATCACCTTTTTATTGACAGTAGTCTAGTCGTCTATTATTGCATGGTTTTAGTAGGCTGGAGATTTTGAGGTCTATAATTGACTCGTGATCTACTATTGTGATGTGAACATTACCTTGTTTAGTCAGGGTGTTTCCTTGCACCGGCTGCTAATGTTTGAAGGTTCCTTTTGCGCCGAGCACTCAAACTGCTGGGACATCATCATCATATCATAAGATGTCATGGTCCGTGTTCGTCCCAGTGCAGGTGTTTATATGTTCCTTTGCAATCCACGCTTAGTGGTCTTGAATCTTGAATAGTTTCGAACTGTTTGGCCACGGCCTCGCAAACTTTGTTTGCTCGCAACGCAAAAACAAACATGGCTTATGGTTCGGTACTCTTCCCATAGATTGGTGTAAAGAAAACAAATCCAAAACTGATTACTTAATAATAAACAAAAAAGGTAGAACACTAGTATACAATTCGACGGAGAGGTTGCCCTGCGGTTCAGGGGCCCTACCTCAAAGAGCCAATGCACCAGAATGCTATATACTTGTGGTAATCCCGCTCTAGTCACTAGGTCACACTGTTGGCCGCGTGTGGGGCGCACACCAGCACAAGCGAAGTGTGCTGGAACGTGTACCTGCTTCTAAAGGCGCCAACCCACTTGGAGCCTTAAGTGGATGACAGTGAGACTCTGGGCTTTTCATGGCTTCTTTTGTGCTGACTAAAACCACCTAAACTCATGTGCGTCTCCCTTTACAGTAGGTGGGACCCTCGGGAGTCCTTGAGATTTGACTTGAAAAAGAAGCCCATAGATGGCCATTGACTATTTGGATCTATTTGGTTGATCAATTGTAAAAGAGAGGATACCCATGTGAACAACCAATTAGGTATCTAACGGTACTCGTACCGTCTAGTAACCAACCCATCTATTTGTCCGATACGCATCATTGGATAAGCCCTAGCTTGAGAGCGGGAAGGCCCGGCCCAATTCCTATGGCCCAAGATGTTCACAGGACGCTTTGGCCGAGCATGAGCTGTTGACGGTGGCTTCGGCCACCAACGGCAAGGCGCGGTCTCTCCGCGCGGAGAGAGAGAGAGAGAGAGAGCGCGTTGCGTCAGCGGAGGATGTGGTGGTTGAAACGAGGATGGGAAGCACATGGAAGCTTTTTTCACAGAAATCCCTAGCCGTTGTAACATATCAACATAAGACTCTTCCGGGCTTCTGCCTTTGACCAATTCCTCGCCATCCTTTCCAACAGCCTTTCACGGAAGTGAAAACCCCCTGTTGGGAGAGAACATTAGAGAACAATCATCCGAAAGTTATGTTTCATGAATAAAACAGAATAGAACTACTTCACTGCCACTTTTTTTGTTGAGGGTGGTTGGGCCCTAACAGGTGGTTTTCCTTGCAGAGACAGGTCCTGGTACGAGTACAAGTCCGTTTTCGGTACTCGAACACTTCATCCCTCTCATCGGTGTACACCCCCTTCTGGCCACCTCCACGCCTGGCAGTCAAAAACGCCCAGGTCTTTTGGGCGATGCCCGCCACGGCGCCGCTCCTCAAGGACTTCGGCATCGATGCGCAACACCCCGTGGAGCACAAGGCATCGCCTCGATGGATCGAGGTGGATGGATCGAGGTGAACTCATCCGGGACCTCTCAAGGTCGGCGGTGAGTTCCCCCCCAACAAATGGAGCATCCTTTGTCACTTCCGGCATCGACTCGGCCACAGAAAAAGTCCTTGGACGTCTCCAGGTGTGTTGGATAGACCTGGGCGGATAGACACTCTTCGGACCCTTCCCGTGTCTTTGCCTGCGCATAGTTGCTACGAGGGAAGCTACGACTGGGCAAGCGACGCAACAGATCTGAGGCAGGTGTAGACGTGCAGGTCCCAGGCTTGCATCGCATGGCTGTCACGATGTGTTTGCTCGAGCCGATAGCGAACCAAGGGAATCCTACCTTGCAAATCCTATAAAGCATGGCAAAACATTGCCAAGCAAAACCACAACGGTGATGCGTGTTTTCCTTTATGGATCTGATCTACACTGATCTACATTGATCAACGCCCTCGAAATGCACAGATCTTCACATCGCAAAAGATCGTCCATCAAATCTGACATCACCCCGTAACATCCCCAAAGAGTTTATTTTTTCCATGTTTGTCCTCTAAGAGGGTCCTCCAAGCAGTTCGGAACACCACATGCTCTGTTTCAGGGAGGTCACAGTTCCGTTTAACTCACGCGAGGGCCAGTCACGGCGCTCCTGGGCCATGGCTGATTCGGAGGCCCCTGAGGCCAGTACTCGATTGCTGGAGGCGGAGACAAAAAGCTCCCCTCCGGCTGAGGGGGCTGCCCAGCTTTGTAGCCCGCATTGCCAATATTGAATGGTTATTTTATGTTATTTTCTAGGTGGTGTGGTGGTTTTGGATATTTCTATTTTCAACCTTTACTTATTTCAGATGATTGAACCCACTGGCTAATACTTTTCACCAACCTATTTTTCTTGGACAGACTTCCCCCTGCCTGGCCCTGCCTGCTGTCCAGTTCACTTGAAAAAGTGTTCGCCGCCTGAACTCTCAGCTACTTCGTTGCGCCTGGTTGCGTCCGGTTAGTGAGAATGCATGCTTAGGAGATTGAATGAGCAACCAATTACAGTAGAGTATATTGTACTACAAAAAGGAAGTTGCGACCCGACCCACCCTACTACTGATCCCTCTTTCATCCCGACTCGATGAACATCCAAAATGCTAATAACCAATGGCCAACCCTATGTAATCGGGCTGAGCAAAAAGTTTTGTTTGGCACTCGCACCATAAACTATATATATATACCATATTAAGCATGAAGCTTTGATCAAGGCATGGTGGTCATTGGCATTGGCTACCTTTTTCCCATTGCTGCCATTTGGGCTGCCTTCGACTACTGGAAGCTGCTTTTTCCCGATCAGAATGTGGAGTTCGCGGTGACAGCCTTGTACCAGGCGCCACAGATCCGCTCTCGGTCCGGGACTCTCCGCATCGCGGACTCGAAGCGCCCAGGTCCCCTGACCGTGACGGAAGGAGCACCACCGATGGCACAGGGGTAACCAAAAGGTCGCTCAAGGCCTGGGTATACGACACGGTTTCAGGGAAACGCCGCAAATAATTCCACACAGTTTCAATGGATGTTTGTACGAACCATTACGAACTTGATGGCAACTGACATCGCATGACGATTTCGCATGACTTCCTCGTCCTTGCTGTTGTTTCTTTTTTCGTTCGACCAATCAAGGCAGGTTCCATCTTGACGGTGATCGCCTTGTCCTTCGTCGAGACCTTCCAGTTTGGGCCGCGGATTTTGGGCGGTTTTGGTGGTCAATTCCTTTGCCTTTCTGTCACGTGGTCTATTTGTTGGGCCGAAGAGCGCCACACCTGGTAGGTGAACCTGGTAGGTTTGGTTGTTTGGTTGCGGGTTCATGGCTTGGGTGGCCACTCCCTTAGGGATTTCTCAGGCTTTTGCCTATGTACTGAGAACCAGGCCTTGGATCCCTTGGCCACATCGATGGCAGCCCCACGTGATCCTTTTTTGAACGATTTCTGTGCTCAAAGGCGCGTAACTGGTGAGTCATGACAGTGCCTCATGTAAGCCGATTAGTGGGGGTGGTTGAAAAGGGGGCATGTATTCCGTAGATGGAGTGTTTCGGATACATCCCTACATGGTCAAAGACTTCGTGTTTACGAAGTTGATCATACTACAATACTAGTAGTATACAATAGTACATATATCTAATAGTGAATAAGGTATAAGAGCAGGTTTAAAAGAGTCTTTAGACGTTTCCGGGCATGATCAAGAGTTCTGAGCAACACATCCGAGACCTGGGAGTTCTCTAAGTGGTTCCCAGGCCATCCTTGCATTCAAGTGGCTCCCATGGTCTCCTTCCATTCTATATGACTTGCTGCTGGGTGTGGTGTTGCTATGCTCGGTGGCCACCGGCTATCTGGACTCGGCACTGCTGTCGCTGTGCTCACAATACAGCTCCAAGATGCAGGCATACTTGCAGATTGGTTTGGGTTACTTGGGCCTTCAGATGTCAGATGTGTTGCCAGGTGTGTTCCCGTGTTCCTTCGTTCTCGGACATAGGAAGACCAGTGTGTGTTCTTCACGTGGCCCAGCGAGCAAATCAAAGCCAAAGGATCTGCTACATGGTCCGGCCCTTTTTGAAGTGGTCTTGTCAGGACCATTGGGTTCCGGCAAACAGTTGCATTTAATAAGCAAGACCGGCTCTTATTACTTGCTCCAATGTTCTCTTTGCAGAAGGGCCTCTCTCTTTGAATGCCAGGCTGGGTCTTTCAGTTTCAGGTGGAATGAAATGGTTTGCTGATGTTTGCTGCCCAGTGGCCACTTGGGGGTCGTCAGATCTGCCAGGAGTCGGGAGGAGGGCTTCGTCAAGAGCACTGAAGAAGATGGGTGGTTTGTTCAGACCTGTTCAGACTAACAACGGTTATATATGGACTGCGCTCAAAAAGCCCTACTCAAAAGATATAGATAAACGTAAACTTTTAGAAGCCAACCATATGTTCATGTTCCTTGTCATTGAGGCTCCATTCTTCTGGAACCAGTTGTTCAGCTCAAGACTCATCCAGGTTCCTACTCCGTTCCTCACGCGCTGGCCTAGGCTTTGGTACCCTGGTCTCCGTGGCCTACCGTGACCTGGCGAGAAGGATGTCCGTTTCGAGGGATGGGCACCTGTTTGACCTGTTTTGGGACTGCCTCTTAACGATCAGGCCAGGGGTGGTTAACCTCGGGTCAATGAGAGATTGCATCGAGTCTCCATGCATCCGAGTCTTTTGGTTTTGTTTTTGCGAAACACACGTTCGATCCTTTGCTCGATCTTCTGAGTTCTTCCGAACCTCTGAGTTCTTCTCCAGATCTACAAAGCTCTTGGCCCTCCGAATCGAACCTCCAGTCTCCCATGTCGTCCCACCAGTCTCCCCTCTAACTCGGTCGGACCGAGTTGGCCCAAACGCGCGCCGTCTCGCCTCGCGCCTGGCGCCTGGGCCTCGCGACGTCCGACGTGCCAGGCGACGTCACGAAGCTGGTGTCCTCGGAGGTCTCCGTGGCCTCCACAGCGTTCTTCGTCGTGGCCTTGGCCACGGTGCTGGCTCCCGGGACCGGTGACGGGACGGGACACCATGGAATGGTCGGATGGGAAGTGTGGGCATGGCGGTTTTTGGTGGATTGGGAGAGGGGTTTTCTGGGTTCGATTTTGATGTTTTTGGGTGGGGTAGGGTAGGGTGGTGGGAGAGGCATCAAAGTCAACCAAAAGCAACAAGATCAGCAAGGCAAGTTCGCACAGATCTGTTCCAAGATACAAAAACATACAACAACAGACAAGTAGGTGCTAAAACAAACTTAAGCAATCAGGGGGGTTCCCAATCGTGAGTCAAACGCATGTGATGAGAGAATGGTACCAATGATTCCAAGATCATGTGCCACTTACATCCGCTCGGTGGAAGGGCACTGAGACTGGATCTGACCATGTGAGTGCATCATTATTGTGTGACCCTGACCCAGTGAATTGGCTTGCTGGTGCATGGGCGAGGAGAAGGTGAAGATTGAAAGAACTCCTGCAGCGGAATTCAAGCGGTTGTGCATTCAAATTGGTTCAAGTATGTTCAAAGTGGTTTTGTCAACCTGAATCGCACGTCTTTGTTTGCCAACCTGAATTCCAGTCTTCAGGTGTTGATGATGTGAGGCCTTTTGTACCACCCTCTCCCCACAACGCCCTCTAGCAAGACCTGGTTTGCCTTCTCAACAACCGCGAGCGACTCATCAGCGTTCTTTCACTCATTGGACGTTTTGGCTTTGGAAGATTCCTCCTTCCACGCACGGATTCCTTTGACCATCCTTTTTGCATCTTTTTGCGATGTGTTTTTTTTGGTTTCCCTTCCCAGGTGTGTATCTCTGCTTATCGCTTGCTGATGCTCCTGCCCGCCTCACGGCATCTCTCCGATGCTGCACCTGGCGCCTCCAGCTACGGCGCAGTGTCGGACACCGCGAAGGGCTCCGGAGCGGCGAGCGGTGCGACGGTCGGGGCGGTGCTGTCAGTGGCTGAGCTGCAGGAAGAGGCAGCCAAGGAGTGGAAGAGGAGACTTCAATGTTATTTTTTCTTACAGAACTTATACACGAAATGTAGAATGTGTGTTTCCCACATGAAGGAACTCGGTGTGAAGAGTATCTCTTTCTCCTCAAATCACGTTGCAGTGTCTAGGGGGATGGCAAAAGATTGAAAAAGGACATAAAATTTCAGGAAGTGAATGAAGTGGATGCATTCGGCAGTTTTCGAGTCAGCCATTTTCTTGACATGCGACTGAGGTGGTGTGGTTCAATCAGCTGGTGATCTTTGGGAACTTCTTCCTCACCACCTTGTGCTACCCAGGGCTGATCACTGCGATTCCTTGCAAGCAGATGAAGTCGTTGGATGTGGACCAATGGTTTCAAACGATTCTCTTGACGGTGCCTCTCGGCGAGCGAGATGTTAGTAGTCCCGTTGCGGTTGTTTTCTCGGCGAGCGGGTGGTTGGCGCAGGGAGTCCAACCCGGTTAAATCTGGAACCATGGTTTACGGTTGACATTGGCTATGTTGACTCTTTGCATTCCGCTTGCTTGTAGTGGGGATTGCATGGAACAGATCACGTTGGATGTTGCAACAGGACAGGTGGCCAGTTTCTTTTCGATGTGTCGTTGTCATCGCATGACGTGGTCGGTTCAGAATGCTTTTTCCGAGTGTCTGGAACCAGGACGTTGAAAGGATAGGTTCGTCTGCCGTCTGCACAGCGAGTTCCAACTCGAATGACAATCGGTGCCGTCAGTGGCCCTGTGGGCCCTGTGGCCCTACTGGCCACAGAAGTGAAACAAATCCGATGCGTCGTTTCACCGCCGAGGTCCTGGGGGGCGGCCGGTCTGAGAGTCTGGTACACATGTCCCTCCAAAACGCGGCCAACGAATTCTCTCCCTCAAAGAAGAAACATGACAAGGGCACCTAGGCAAAACCACGATGTATATAACCAAATCCATCCAAATCCCAGTGAATTCCACATGAAACAATGGTACCAGCATCTAGAATGAGCTTAAAGCGCTTGTTTCGTGTACCACACAATTGGCACAATAACGACTGCTGCTCCAAAACTCACACGTCTAGAGTCTAGAGTCTACACGTTCAGTTTTCAACCCGGCGGGATGTTCTTGCCCATGTTTGACGAATCTATATATTTAGGCCCCCCTAAAATTCATATTGCCATAAATACACTTAAACAACTATTTTGAATTAATGCGTATTCGGGAGGAGTAGATGTTCATGATTGTTCATGCTATGGAAATGTAATGTAATTAGTTGTGGGAAGGGACATTGAGATTGTTCTGGAATGGAGATTCAAAGTTAAAGGTGATGAGAGTATTAAAATGGAAAGTGGGTTGCATTGGAAATTGAGTTTGGAATAAGGAACCACCCATAAGGGGGGGAGCATCAAAAGGCCAGAGCACAACATGTGTTCATCAGTTCATCAGCCAAGATAAGATCTCTGACTGTATTTGGGGTACACGGTGGCTTCATGGAGGCTTCACTTGTGTATGGTGGCTGCATGGAGGTACCTTTTCCAGGTTGTTGTTTGGTATGTGTGGATGGTTTGTGAGTAAGGTGTTTAGAAATAAATTTCACTGGACAGTTTCGGATTTTGATGGTTCCATGTTTCAAAAGGCAAACAAGCAAGTTCATGCACATTTCCATGGAACCCGAGCAAAATGAATATGAACATCATCAAACTCCATTGGACAGCAATGAACAATCCATGAGGAACACCAAGTCAAGTGCTGGACCAGCAAAACGCAAAAAATAGACAAACAACAAATACTACAATCAAAATACAGCAATGAAGAAACACAAAGCAATAAGTGCGCCTTACAAATATACTACAATCAAATATAACAATGAAGACACACAAAGCAATAAGTGTGTTTTTCCAAGATTGAAACTGCTTAGATTTGTTTAGGGGTATTGTAGATCAAGAGCTCTGTAGGTTGACATGAAACCTTATGTTTATCTCATGGTCCTTGTGTGTTGGCCCCTTGTGTGTTGGCCCAAGTAAGGCGCCGGGCCGCTCCCTAGGCCCTAGTCACCTGTGTGAAGTCTGTGCCAATCCCCAACCTAGTCTCCGGCGATCCCTTCGCCGAGGCGAAGCCAGCCACACATCCACCACCACCACCAGAACAACAACAACAACAGCAACACGCAGCCACAACGCAAGCTCCAACCAACATCAAACCAACACAAAGGTTTGTGAACAAGATAATGTGTCTTGGCTGCACGGGGGGGGCGAGGGGAGCAAGAGGGGGTACCTTCACAATGTACACTTCAATCATTTTTGCGGGGTTACCAAGTATGTCGCTTTACAGTGTTTTGGATGCCTTTGTATATTTTTTGATGGTTTCTCTTGAAAACATAGCCAAAGTGATGTGCACATGGATATGGGTAGTGGGAGAAGAGACAGAGAGGGAGAGAAAGCTTTCCATTGACACATCAGCGCTCCCTTCCCCACAAAGAAGTTTTGATCATCCAGGGGTATCGCTTTGGCATCGCTTCATGTAAAGGGAACTTAAAGCCAAGAACGGAGTTCCAAAGCTTTCGCCTGACAAGGTTGTAAAGCGCAAGTGAATCAAATGATTGAGGGCGGTACCAACATATGGAGCTCCACAAACGTGCCCATAGGGTTTGGCAATCCAACAGTAAAACCCTGACATCCCTGAAGACATCTGACAACTCTCTTTACTCGACTGCTTCATCGTAATGCAAGCATACCTTACACGAGGGCAACTCTACACCTAAACACTCTCGGGCCATTCCTAGGGGCAGAGATTCCCAGCACAAGGGTGTGCCGGGGAGCCCAACGTCGGATTGGATGGTAAACAACGCAGCCTTGGGTGCCGGGGAGGAGGTAGTTGGAGCCCTAGGGATTAACTTGGTAGATGATCGTCCCATGACATGCTCCTCAAAGAACTCATCTCATGTTTTGCTTTGGCACACTTTTGAGGTTCTATCAGTCGTGAGTGAGTCACTCTACAGCTTACTTCCCGAATTGCACAAGGGGGGGTCCACTCTAACCACCTTCTCAGCAGCGTGCCTCGAGGATAGGGGATGGGACCCTTATCAAGTTACTGTACAAAGAAACTTCCATGAAGACGACGATAGATAGATAGATAGATAGATAGATAGATATAAGAGAGAGTCGGCTTTCACTTTCGAGAAGGCATTTCAATACAGACTTGGGAAAGAAACCGTTTCTAGGAAACACACTAAATGTACTTGACTTCCATGTGCGTCAATGCTTTGGCGTAGGAACCTCAGGTGAAAACCAGAGAAACCTGCGCTTTGGCCCCTGGGCGGACCAGTGGGCGGTGATCGTTGAATTAAAAAACACACGCGGTGTAGGCTGCGATGAAATGAGCAAACCGTCCAGCACGCGGAACCGGTCCAAGACTGGGCGGAACAGGTCCAAGACTGGGTGGTTCTGCGGTTCGACACATGGGGTGGTTCTTAAACCTGCTCGGTTTTCAGAAGATGCAGTCGGTGGTTGAGGGGTGACCAGATTCTTTGGTTTTGTTTCTAGCGTGGTGTATGGAAGAATGATGAAGAATGGCGATGGATGGTGCTGAAAGAGGTGGTGAAATTATGCGTGTTTGGCTGCTTTGGCGCACACGTTGGGTCTTAGAAAAGGCGCCAACTCTGAAAAGCTTGAGCAAAAGATCCTTTTAAGTTCCCCAGGTCAACTTGTTGTGTGTTGTGGGCCCCCAACACAGCATAGAGTTACTTAGGCCCATTTGTGTAGACACTTAGCTTGTTTACGCTCCGACTTTTCCAAAGACACAAAAAAAAGGGTCGTTGGAGACTCGAAGCCTATTTCATCCGAGCATATGAGCTGCCTTTGACAAGATTGCAATAACGGAATGATGTTCTTGAAAAGAGCGTCCCTCGAGGATAGGGGATGGGACCCTTATGAAGTTACTGCACAAAGAAAGCGCGAAACCGTCTGAAAGCGCGAAAGAAGGAGTGGCTTGAGGCAAGGAAACGGCACGGAGTACGCAATGGTCCAAACTTGGCAACGCAAAGCAGCGTAGTAAGAAGACAACTTTACCTTTGCCAGAAACACATGATTTGATGCCTGTCCTTCTCTTGTAGCTCAAAGGGCACTGTTTTCCTTGGCCAGCAACTTTCGAATCTCACACACCACCTGGTGCATCGCATTGACATTGACAGCTTACACATTTTGGAACCTGGTCCTACTCCGACCCTTCCAGCATTCTTTCCCAACAATCAGCCGTGGACAATGTCAGGACTACACAAAACAAGTATTTTCGAATATTGCAAGTATATGACGAAGAGGGATTCCGATGCGCCAGGGATTCTACGTGCGTCCATCCTTTCCAGTCCAAGCCGAATCGTATACGATGTTCAACTTCTGTAGGTGTTGGTTCAAAGCAAAAAAAGCTCCCCAGGCCGCGAGAGATGACAAAACACCACCTGCCCCAATGTCGTATCAGGCGCATAAATCCATCGATTCATGCGTGGGGTTGGTTAGCATGATATACAAGATATTTTGGACCACCAACCAACATGTGTTTTTCTCTTGTCAAAACAGAGGTCACTCCGTCTCCTGAAGGCGGTATATAAAACCATAAAACAGACCATAGCAGAACCCCCCGATTCGGTGTGTCCATGCACCACCTGGACAGGGGGTCCTGGTGATTGAATTTGGTTTTGGCGTAGCTCACTGAAGACGCGTTTTTGGGGGAACATCCACACAAGATTTGTCCAATGTTGCTGGGGTATTGAAAAGCGGAACGGATTGAGTCCAATCCCAGCTGGCCACACGTTCAATGATGAAAATGGGCCCTGGCGATTGGTTAGCTACTGCTACCAGACCGAAATATCCGAGGTTGGGCTGAGAAGGTGGTTGAGGAGCCATCACTTGATGGACGCTTCTACCGAGTGTTCATCAAGGCGCTCTCCCGAGCTTGTGGGCGTGTTCGCTGTCGTTCAGTCACTAATGTTAAGGTTCCCACTCCCATCACTATCCAATGAGGACCTACCATGGACCTGCAGAGGCAATCTTCACACGACGCCGGGGAGATTGGGCAATACGCGTTCCTCGCCACGGCATCGAATGGAACGCTCTCGGCGTGGCGCCCTGGGCATGTTTACTTGTGTCTCCCAGTCGGGGGTTTTGTGTCCGCCTTCTGGCGCGGCTTAGTGGCAATACTTTTCAGGGATGTGTAAAGATCAGTGGTCTTTGTAATCACAGCGCATTTGGGTAGCGGTAAGGGAGTTATGTTTTATGCCTTCAGGAGCCTTCAAGTATCTTAGATCTGGGAGAGTGTGCAAGGGCAACATGGGACAACCAGCCCTTGTCCACTGTCATGAACAATCAATCATTCCTAAGACTGGGAGAACAGCGAACAGACCAAAATCAACATCAAATCACCTTAAGCTTACATGATCGCTGGATGAGGTCAATGTATGCAACTATTCCACTCCCATTCATTTGGTCTGGGATTGGTCAACTAGACTTGGTCGACCAGGTCGTCAAGCAGACCGCGGCAGACTCATGATGATGTACTTTTGCCCTCAAATGGCCCAAATAAACATATAGAATCACATATATATATATATATACAGAGTCAGATATAGGGGGTTGAAGCACCCCTGTTCGCTTCAGTTTCTTTGCGTCGGCTGGCGCGGATTTAAATGTGGCGTGACCAGTGACCAGCACATAGAGTTCCAGATGATTTTGGGGGTGTCTTTCGGGGTGTTTGTGCGCCTCTAACGTGTCATGACAGGTATTGCATCGTATTGTGGTATTGCCCCCTTTGACATTTGCTCACAATTAGTATATTTAGTATACAGCATGCAGCGGAAAAAGACATTTTTGGAGCATAAACAGAGTCTGCATGACCCGTCGACAGATCTGCTCCAACCAACTGAAGCAGCCATGTCGGTGAACGGATTGTTGTTCACAGAGTGAGTCGAATGCGCTGTGTGTTTCTTATTAATGAATATATATGATTATATACATATATAGGCTAGTCACCAGAAACCCTAGTCACATGTGGCCGCTCCCTAGGCCCTAGTCACCTGTGCGAAGTCTGTGCCAATCCCCATGCAACCTAGTCTCCGGCGATCCCTTCGCCGAGGCGAAGCCAGCCACACATCCACCACCACCACCATGTTCACCACCACCACCACCGCCACCACCACCACTAGAACAACAACAACAACAACAACAGCAACAGCAACAGCAACAGCACCAGCAACAACAACGCACAGCCACCACGCAAGCACCAACAAACATCATGCCCACCCAACGGTTCATCAACAAACTGCTGTGTCTTGGCTGCACGGGGGGGGGCGAGGGGAGCAAGAGGGGGTACCTTCACAATGTACACTTCAATCATCTTTGGGGTTACTAAGTATGTCGCTTTACAGTGTTTTGGATGCCTTTGTATATTTTTTGATGATTTCTCTTGAAAACATAGCCAAAGTGATGTGCACATGGATATGGGTAGTGGGAGAAGAGACAGAGAGGGAGAGAGAAAGCTTTCCATTGACACATCAGCGCTCCCTTCCCCACAAAGAAGTTTTGATCATCCAGGGGTATCGCTTTGGCATCGCTTCATGTAAAGGGAACTTAAAGCCAAGAGCGGAGTTCCAAAGCTTTCGTCTGACAAATTTGTAAAGCGCAAGTGAATCAAATGATTGAGGGCGGTACCAACATATGGAGCTCCACAAACGTGCCCATAGGGTTTGGCAATCCAACAGCAAAACCCTGACATCCCTGCAGACATCTGACAACTCTCTTCACTCTACTGTTTCATCGTAATGCAAGCATACCTTACACGAGAGCAACTCTACACCTAAACACTCTCGGGCCATTTCTAGGGCCAGAGATTCACAGCACAAGGGTGTGCCGGGGAGCCCAACGTCGGATTGGATGGTAAACAACGCAGCCTTGTGTGCCGGGGAGGAGGTAGTTGGAGCCCTAGGGATTAACTTGGTAGATGATCGTCCCATGACATGCTCCTCAAAGAACTCATCTCATGTTTTGCTTTGCCACACTTTTGAGGTTCTAAGAGTCGTGAGTGAGTCACTCTACATCTTACTTCCCGAATTGCACAAGGGGGGTCCACTCTAACCACCTTCTCACCAGCGTGCCTCGAGGATAGGGGATGGGACCCTTATGAAGTTACTGTACAAAGAAACTTCCATGAAGACGACGATAGATAGATAGATATAAGAGAGAGTCGGCTTTCACTTTCGAGAAGGCATTTCAATACAGACTTGGGAAAGAAACCGTTTCTCTTGAAAGGAAACACACTAAATGTACTTGACTTCCATGTGCGTCAATGCTTTGGCGTAGGAACCTCAGGTGAAAACCAGTGAAACCTGCACTTTGGCCCCTGGGCGGACCAGTGGGCGGTGATCGTTGAATTAAAAGACACACGCGGTGTAGGCTGCGATGAAATGAACAAACCGTCCAGCACGCGGAACCGGTCCAAGACTGGGCGGAACAGGTAACAGGTCCAAGACTGGGTGGTTCTGCGGTTCGACCCATGGGGTGGTTCTTAAACCTGCTCGGTTTTCAGAAGATGCAGTCGGTGGTTGAGTGGTGACCAGATTCTTCGGGTTTGTTTCTAGCGTGGTGTATGGAAGAATGATGAAGAATGGCGATGGATGGTGCTGAAAGAGGTGGTGAAATTATGCGGGGTTGGCTGCTTTGGCGCACACGTAGGGTCTTAGAACAGGCGCCATCTCTTTAAAGCTTGGGCAAAAGATCCTTTTAAGTTCCCCAGGTCAACTTGTTGTGTGTTGTGGGCCCCCAACACAGTCCTTCATAGAGTTACTTGGGCCCATTTGTGTAGACACTCAGCTTGTTTACGCTCGACCCAAAAAGGGGTCGTTGGAGACTCGAAGCCTATTTCATCCGAGCATATGAGCTGCCTTTGACAAGATTGCAATCACGGAATGATGTTCTTGAAAAGAGCGTCCCTCGAGGATAGGGGACGGGACCCTTATGAAGTTACAGTACAAAGAAACTTCCATGAAGGCCACGATAGATAGATGGATAGATATTAGAGAGAGTAGTAGAAACAGCAGAATCATCAACTTTGGAATCAAAAGGAAGAGATGTGACAACCGCTTGAATAGTAGGAACACAATATGACAAACATATGAAACAAATAGAACATGGGAGCGATCTGTTGTTTCATATTTGTCCTATGTTTAAGTTTGTCCTAGTTGTTTCCTAATTGTTTGCCAGGATTATGCTCACTGTTTTAGGGGAACACCATTACATATATATATATATACACATACGCAGTTTGCAGATGAACAATACAGACATATATAGACTATTAACTTTACTTCGAGTGATCCCCACCATGACATGTCAATCAGTTGTTTTCATGTTGCCATGGTGGGGGGTTTTGCGGTTCTCAAATTTGCTTGTGGGTGGTTGTGTCCTTGTGTTGCGGGGTTCGCGTCGGGGTGTCTTCAGGGTCTCAGCTGGCATGCTATCCAAAGTGCGACCCTGTGACCACCTGCCACGCAAAATGCCACGCAGAGGTAATTACAATGTTGCTGTTGCTGTCGCTGTTACTGTCGGTTGTTGTTGTGGTTGTTGGTTGTTGGTTGTTGTTGTGACGGTTGTGGTTGCTGCTGCTGCTGTTGTTATTTGTTGTTGTTGGTTTGTGTTGGGGAGGGGGATGGTGGTTGGTGTCGGTGTTTGTGGCCGTGATTGTGTGTTTGCATTATGATTACGGGTGCTGCATAGGCGCCGAGGCGCCGGGCCCGGCGCTTGTCCAGTGAATGAAATGAAGGTGGTTGTTCGACGTGCTATATGAGTTTGTTGTCAACGGCGCTCAAGCGTTGCGTTTGTGGTTGTGTTTTGTTGGCTGCGTTTGGTTGGTTGTGTGTTTGTGGTTGTGTCTTGGTGGCTGTGTGTTGTTCGTGTGTTGTTTGTTGGTGTGTTTAGGTTGTGTGTGTTTGTCTTTTTTGTTGTGTTGTTGTGGGTTGTGGTTGTGTTGTTGGTTGTGTATTATGTGTTGTGTGTTGTGTGGTTGCTTGCTGTTCAGGTCCGAGAGTCTCCACTGCCACCTGGCGCTTGCTGTCGAGTTCCGAGACTGCCCATCTGGCGCTTGCTGTTGTGGTCCGGTAGTGCCCACTGCGCCCTGGAGCTTGCTGTTGAAGTCTGGGAGTGCACACTGTGATCAGACTCTTGCTGTTGAGGGAGGAGGCCGGGAGAAGGAGGACGAGGAGTTACGACGCCTCTCTTACAAATCTGGCCGCCCTCACCTGCCAGGTGGGGAAGAAGCAAAAAGCAGAAAGGGGTGTGTCCTACTTTCAACTATTTTGCGCGAGCTTCCTAATATCCTTTCAATTTGCGGTCGTGTGTTTGTCTACTTTGTTAAAGCTTGGGGTTGGATCGCGCCCAATGGAAGCTTAACTCCATCAACACAACTCAAGCCAATGAAAGAGCAGCTGGTAGGGGCTGGTACCACCCAATGATCGGCCCATTCCAGATTAAAGCGCCACGTGGTCCAAGAGTTACTTGAAGGAACGATCATCCAATGGTCCGAGAGTCTCTGATCAGCTCAGGTTTGCCATGTTCGACATCGTGGCACGCTTTTGCACACACATTCGCTTCGGCCTTGACCATGGAAATATCCAGTTCCTTTGAGTGGATTTGCGTCGCAAAAAAATGAAGTGTCAACATGGATACCGCTCTCCACTTGCGTAACCTAATCCTTATTATGACCCCATTTTCACACACTATTCACCTGCCAGGCACATGTTGCTTTAGGGGGGCCCTGCATTGACTACGGGTTGTTTAAGTGTTGTTTCGTTGTTTTGCAAGCTAGGTTGGAGCTACACTTCCTGGAGTTAACATGGGAGTGGAAGATAGCCCCCTGTGGAAGGCCGTTTTTCTCTACAAACAGGGGATTGCCATTTCCATGTCAGGTCCAAGGAGAGTAGTGGAATTTGATCGTCCAAAAGCACTGGCGAAGTCTTCCGCAGTCCAATCATGGCGCTCATTCAATTATGGAGTCCGAATTTGTGGTCTTGGCGGCTACCAACGTGGATGGATCATGTGTTTAGGAGGATCCGATCAGATGATAGATCATTAGATCTGGATTTTTGCAGATTGAGTCCCCCCAAAGATTTTTCTGAGCCACCACCCCGACACAAACAGACTATATATATATCCATCACTCCCTCCGAGAAACGTCCTGAATTTTCGGAACTCTAGTTTCTATGTTCTCAGTCAACTCCACAGTGGTGACCATTTTTCAGGTACACGGTCCTGCTCCGAGCCCTCTTGGTGCCTTTGATGCTGACTTGTGCCGTTGGAACGACCAGCGATCTTTGGTCCATGGTGGCCGTCGCGGCGTTTGGTTTGTTGAATGGCTATAGCGGATCCTTGTCGCTGAGCCTAGGCAGCAAATGCTGTGCAACCGCAGTTTTTTGAGTGAGAGGGTGGGATGTCACAGGAAGACCACATCACAAAAGAACCAGAAGATGCATTTGAAGATCGAATTAGTAAATCTGAAATCATGATGATTAATCTAAGCAGTTTGATTGTGTTCAATTGCTTCTATTGTTCGTCAGCAGTCTTACGTTATGAACACAATCATGGACATTTTTCTTGTTTTGCAGTATGATTTTGTGTGCGTTGTAAAGTTGTTGACATTCTTTAGTCTATGAAGGTTCCGAGGTCACAGAATGGGTCGAAAGTGCCCATCCACGATGCACGTGTTGTGAGAAAGCCGCAGAAGCAGCGCCAATCCTGGAAGAGTGTCAATTGAAACAAGTGTAATTTGCGAGGATTGGTGGCTGCGTTAAATGAATATGGTTCGTCAGAGTCGCATTAGAGTCGCATTCGCAGACAATCCACAAATCAATGCAATCATTGGAGAGTTTTTGAGGAGAATCCCCCGAAGAGGTCAAGGCAATCAGCAAATCATTCACCGTCCCTGTGCATGAAGCATCAGGAACATTCCGAGGCAGGCTTTGGCCTCCAATGTCAGCCGGAAAGGCGGCGTACCCTGACACAGGGGTCTGAAAGCTCGTTTCAGGAGCAGCGCCGGCTTGTCCAATTTTGCCAAATGCATCATCCCTTTGCTGCATGCACAGGGGCGGACGGACACAAGGATGAGGTTTCCAAGTGACTAACAAGCTATGCTTTGCTTCGACGGCAGCATGTAGATTCCCAATGACTCCCACACCTTGCTGCTGACACACTGTTGCCTTTTGATTCTCTACAACCTAAGTTTAGGGTTTCCCACATTATATTTGGTTATTTGTTTTTAATTTAGTGGGTGCTTTCAATCAAATTGGGTACATGTCGGCCACAGAATGGGAGAGGTCACGAAGGAAACCTGGCGCTCTACTCGGCACAATGTAGCTGACAGTTCTCTGAACTCATTTGCAGACGTTTGATCGTTTCCATTGAGTTCTTTTGGGTGAAGCTAGGGCACATGTGACTGACTGAAGCCTCCAACATCCTCCAACCGTTTTGAGACGTCCCCCAGTTCGAGGAGTGTAATGTTCTCAATTTAAATAATAGACATCCACAATCTATATCACGAAACCTAGCCTGGTAAGGACTACCTTGAGTTTGCTTTGCGAAGCAAAGGGACTGGCTTGAGAGCCTGCTCGGGACTAAAGATTGGTAGATCAATGTCTAACACCCCCACCCCCCCCCTCCCCCCCGTCCCATGTGATGATTCATTGATAAATCAATTGTTTTGCACCCCCCCCCACTCCCCTCCCCGTCCCCTCCCCTTGCCAGCACTACTAGCATTTTGGACACACCATCACACCATAAGGTGAAGTCATGCGCTTAGCAGTCACAGCAGTACGATGCTGGCCATGAGGTTGCCCAATACAGCACGAACCCTGCGCAATGAGGTTGCGCAATGCGGCTTCGATGCCGCGCGTGCGCACCCGGCAGCCTGACACAGCGCGTACTGCGTTCACAGACCATATTGCTCGACACCAACGGGCATCGATGCAACACAGCCAAAGCCCTGCGAGAAACCTCTCGCTTCGCGGAGCACCATTCGACTCAGCCTTAGACTCTAGCTTGGCGACATCTTACCGCATCGTGGAGCACCACTTCAGAGCTATTTACGCACCCTTCCCATCAGCCACCCACCATAGCGTGACGTCCATCCCTGGCAGTACCGGCCGCCCCCTCCAGCACTATCCTTACAAGGGGTTGGTCACTGCCGCTTCGACGCAACGCGTGCAGGCCTGTGTCCTGACACAGTGCGTGCAGCTGTGTGACCATAGCTGGTACACATGCGAGCGTTTACGCATTGCGACTTTTACGCGCGCCTGCTTCCACACACCTTTACGCAAACGAGCGTCGACTACGCAGCCTCTCTGCAGAGCCGTGTGGCGCAATCTGACCGCAACGGTGTTCCTCTTGAGCCTTCTTGTGCTCTCTGGCTTTGTTGGTTTTATCCATGATTGACCAAGGGGAACGTTCCTGAAACACCGGAGACAGTCCCTCACCAGAAAAGGTCCCGACAGCTACCCGGTCCGTCCCTACCTTTCTTGTTTCCCCGCTCAAGTATGCATGAAGTGGAGTGCGAGGGTCTCGCATGACACATATCCAGTGTTTCACCTGTTGATTGTTTCGTGTCTCCCAGGATCGTCATCAACGAGATCCCTGGCCTCACCGCGGAGCAGCGGAAGAATTGCGGTCGATTGTCCGCCTGTGCCGTAAATGGTGGGCTGTGTTTGGGGTCCTTGGTGGCCTCAGCACTGAGTGCAAAATTGCAGTTGGATGAGTGAAGGATGCAGTTAACGTCTTCCAGGAAAAAAATCCACGTGGGTGTTTGTCTCATGGGCTCATGTTGTCTCATGGGCTCATAGCACGCCGACAGTGACAGTTTTATACCGGTGGCAAGGCCGGCGGTCTCCATACGCGAGCTGCGGCCAGCGTCCCTTTGCGTTATGCTTGTGTTATTGATGTGCAACGACAGACACCGCAGCTGGCAGCTGCACTGTCGGCTGCAGATTCAGAAAGGGCCGCTGTGATTGGAATTCGTAGTGTTTTCCCAACTATATTTATGCATCAAATACAGAATTTTGTCGAGGAAACTGTCGTTTTCCAAAGCACACCACGTTTTCACAGGTGTCTAGTACCGTTCCTAGCTTGTGTGGTGCAGGTCTTGACCCGTTGTGATGCGTCCGAGCCCCAGATGGATTTCCTTGGGGATTTGTACCGGGGAGATTGGGGAGATTGAGCTAGGGCCTGACACCCCCAAGACATGGAACATGCCTGAGGTGGGAGCCAGTGCCCACTTGCCACTTAGCGGACTGGACCCATAAATGACAAGGCCTCCTGTATTGGCAGTGTTGTTTTTCCCGGTTTGATTGTGTTTTTTCAACATAGGTTTGTTTTTGTTTGTTGGTGTTTGTTTTGCATTTCCTTGTTTTTCATTGTTTCTTTGTGGTTGTTTTTTTTTAAATGTGTTTCCTGTTTTTTTGGTGTTTGTTTTGCCCGTCCTTGCATTTCCTTTGCTTTTATTGCTTCCCTGTGATGTCTCCTGGTTTCTTGCGTTTCCTGCTGTTTTAACGCATGTTTTGCTCTTCCTTGCTTTTCTCCTGTTTTTCTTTCCTGAACCCTGTTTCTTGTCCTTTTGTGGCCTATTGTTTCGTTGTTTTCATTGCAATATAAAAGTAGTTGTTTTTCAACGCCTTGATTTCTGGCTTTCTATACTTCATTACTTCACCTACTCTTGTTGTTGGTTTGTTGGTTTTTTGTTTCACCTTAAGGGACAACCCAAGTGCATCATATGAACAAACTCTTTCGTAGTTCTTTACTCCCTTCTCAAATATGATACACTTATCTCATGTTTGTTCGTCCTGCGGCCTGAGTTTGTGTTTTTGTTTTTGCCTTGTGGTCCACTTGGTCTGTATTTTTTGCACACAGGCCCTAGATGCCCTGAAATAATCATGGTCATGGACAATTGCCTCCTGGACAGTTATTTATTCTACAAACAGCTAGCATTCCACTTCCACTTGGGGAACGACTGCAAAAAAGAACAAACAAATCCGCAACCGCTGATGTATGTCCACATCCGGGCAAGCGATGTGTTTCAATCTCAGCCAGGGGATGCTCGAGGATCGATGGCTCCCGCGAGGATCGATGGTGTTCACTGCACGCCCATGATGATTTCAGGGAGCATACCAATAGACCTGCAACCCAACCATCATTGTCCATTGTTGCTTTAGAGTGGCGCCTCAAACTGGCTGCACCAGTTTGCCTCCCGAGGACACTGTCAATGCCCGAAGTGCGCCGCTTCTTGATTGGTTACTGGGCAGCAACGGGGAAATCCATGGACGTTGTTGCCAAGCACTCGGCGTGTGATCTCCTCTAGTCGCGTGTGTGTGTGTGTGTGTATACATATTACATATTATATAACATTATATATGTGCATAAATAATCATATATATATACTGTTTTCCTTCTAATTTGTCAGATATTTGATCAGATGAGTCAAACAGTAAACAAATCGAGCGCCAACACCACACGGAAGGGGAGGTTATTGGAAGGGCAATAGTCAGGGCGGGAGGTCTATAAACTACCCTTCCTGTGCTGGCAGTTGCTATTGTTTCATAGGGGGATCCTTTGCTTCATGCAATGGTGTTTGCTTAGTCCTGCAAAAGATGAGAAGGGGTCACATATTTCATGACGGTTCTTTGGACTTTGAGCGCAGAACATCCGTGGACAGGCTGAACGCGGTGGTCCAATGACCCCCCAAGGAGCCTAAAAACACCCACAAAGGACGTTTCTTTTTTGGTTCGCGTCCAAGTCAAAAGGATGATTCTTCAAAGGAGCCAAGAGCGAAGGAAAAGGACAGGAGTTTTGGTAAAACAGTTCCCAGGCTTGAAGAAATCTGTTGCAGTCATGTGACACGTTGCAGTTTTCAGGCGCATTTTTGAAACCGATCTCGGCCTCGTCAAGCGACATGACATGTGACGGCTGGTGAAAACCACAGTAGGGACACATCATGGACACATCAATACGTCTGTCCAGCGGTTTAAGGCACACCCTTCCAGTGAACATCCACACCTGCTCAGTACCAATCTTGCTTTGGTGGTCCGAAAGCGTCGGGGACCGCACCAGGTCAGGACTCCACCGTGAACTCAGAAGAGGCGGGTTCGATGGCAGATGCCAAGTGTGGAGAATCCTGGACTACTTGGACCAATAAGTGATCTTCTAGGGACCAATCCTATATATTCGTTTTCCTCGAGAATCCTATCGGATCCTATAGGATTCTTTGGATGTTTGTCCTTCCGCGAAAGGTTGCGGGAGATCCTCAACGGCTTTTGGATCGATGTCCTGTTTTTGGCAAGAACATACATGAACGTGTGATAAGGTGTGAAAATAGGGAGACCCTCCTTTCTAGCGCCAGGGAAGTGGGTCGCCTTACGTCTATCCATGTCCCTTTCACCGAACCAGTGAGGCTCGGAACGGTTCCGGGTCGGTCTCCCTGGGTCTCGCTCCGGACTCAGAGCTGTTTGGGCATGTTTTGGGGAGTCGTCAGGAGCTTACGATGTCAGGAGCTTATGATGTATCATGATGTATCGAAGTATGAAGAGAAACTGTTCTTTCAGATGTGATGCCCGAACACCGGACTGGCCGTCCGAGAGTTCACGAACACCAGGGACAGACACCAGGGTCAGCCCGGGCAGACACTGATTGCCCCCAAGAGCGGCTCAGCAATGCGCCAGAACTGGTCTACCCCGACTGGCAAACAAATATGCATTTTTCCAGTGATGTCTGTGCAGGAGCTCATTGCCCTCTTGGGTTCGCAGCCAAATGAGTTCCCCCCGCGGGATGCCACTTGGAGGAAAGAACATTCGGGCAATATCGTATGTACATGTATGTACACAGTTTGGTTTGGTTGGGATTCGGTGTTTATTTTTACTCTTTTTTGTGTGTGTGTTGTTTGTTTGTTTGTCTGTTTGTTTTGTTTGGTTTGAAGTTTGTTTTGTTTGACTTTGAGTGGTTTATTTTGTTTTGTGTTGTTCTATTTTGTTTGTATTGGTTTGTATTAAGCTACACAAGACTGAAGTCAATCAAGGATCATCTCTCACGATAGATTCCCATGCTTCATGTTTGTATGCGTCATAATCCATCATATGTCCTAATCTTTGGTCGAGAGTGCCACCTTTGATCAGCTAGGTTGGCCATGAGCGCCCAATGTGGAGGAGTCATGCCACCATGCCCAGTTTCAATCACCGAGAATGCCAAGTGGCATTTCAGCATCCCCAAACCACACGTCCCAATACCCTCCTGCAGATTCAAATGGGCTTTCAAAACCACAGGGTTGTAGAGGAAAATTGTTTTCCACTATATATAGGTATTTTTTAGGGTCCATGTTAGTCTGCAGGGAGGGTGCCTGCGTTTGGGTGATGTTGAAATTCACCGTTGGGTGTATATATCTCCCCGTTTCAGGGACAAGGTTTCATCCAGCGAAGCAGCTAGCACTTAATGAGGAATGATGTTCGAGTCTTTGGAATGACTCCTGGCCTATCCCAGATACTCCATGTATGGAATATATGCCATCCCATTGACCACCAGTTAACAACCCCGACTGATCGGGTAAATATGGCAGTCCCAAACAGGTGGTGTTTGGGAATGCTTAGCAGCAAATTTGGGTCAGCTCAGAGAGGTGTCCATACATGGAGTGAAACTGAAACCCAAATCTGGATATAATGGTAACATGTGGTCACTGGATCCACTGGGTGACTTGTCTTCCTTGACCAAGCCCCTGTAGACAGACCTCCCTCTGCGCTGGAGCCGCTCGAGGTCACGGATCTCATGTGGGACCTCGCGCGGACGCAGCCGGCGCAGCCACGGAGTCACTCCGGGTTGTTGGGAGTGCTCAGGGACGCAGAATTGACCATGGATTCACGGACCCAGAGTATTTAGTATATCTATAATATTCATATTGTAGTAGGATTAGTATGTATATATATATACAGTCGTATATCATATAGTATACATTAGATTACTATATGCTTAGCAGGTTCCACTGGCATAGCAAAACCATTCGACCGTTCTAATCGTTCAATGATTTGCTTCTTTGGGGAGGTTTCGGTGCTACGCATGTCAAACAAACGGTGGCCTCTGTCAAGCAGCGCTAAGCACTGTGCCTACCTGGGAGTTGGTCGAACATTTGTGCAAAACGTTTTCAAGTTCACTCACTCATGAGGCACCCACGGCTGGGGCACCAAGGCTGGTGGATCTTCTTCATCGGATCGTGCTGCCCGGAGACCCGGTGCGACACGTGGCGGCGGCGGCTTCGCGGGGCCGGCAAAGCGGGTCTTGGACGACTGAGGTGGTGTCCACCATGAAAAGTCTTGAAAAGTGTCCCAATGAGGTGTGTCCACCTGCAATCCCTATGAAAAGTCTTGGTATCTGACCAGTTTCAATAGGGAGATGGAGACTTTTCAAGTGCAGCCACCCATGGTGTGTCTTGAGCAGATTGGACTTGCACATGATGAGTTCATTACTTCATTGACTCATTGACCTTGGAATTTCACCTTACTTTCTCATGATGCAGGTGGCGACGCGAGGAGTTCGTGGGGGCGCCCGGTTTGGAACTGGGGAGGAAGGTTCTGTCTCAACCTGTTTCAACCGGTATAAGATGGTATAAGTACCGCTCTGTTCCGCATGTGTGTGTGTGTTTCTGCGTGTGTATTTTAGTGTGTTGTTCCTGTGTTCCTGGCCGTTCTGACAAGTGAGAGGGACTGATGTTGCTACCCAGAGAGCTTCCGAAGGAGGCCGAGCCAAGGCACTAGAGCGGAGCAATTGCCTTGACAGGACGTTCTGGCGACAATGCCTCTCCAGCAGGTCACCAGCTGCGACTTCTTTAGAGGTGCACCAAAAGGGTACCCTGAAATAGTCATGGAAGTGGATGGCATGGGTTGGAGGGAGGGTAGATCAACCTGAATCTGTTGGAAGGCTTTGCACTCCGCGGATTCTTTCATTCCATTCCCCGACACTCCATGGGACTGATATGTTGGTTTGGGGTCAATAGGATTGCATATATACCTTGGGTTTGTCCCAATACTGTAACGGTCAATAAACAAGCATATCACTGTTTTAGAGATGAAGAGGCCTGCAACTGAACCATGAAAATCACTCGGCCCAGGGTGTTTGGGATAAACCCAGTATATATACATATACCTAGAGCTATTTTGGAAACCTCTATTTTGAACCACATTGGACCACCCACCACTCAAAACATGGTCAAATGTCCAAAACAGGGGTCATGTTTGGGTTCCTGGTTTTATATACCCCAGACACTCCATGTATGCCATACATGCCTACATTGACTCCCAAAACCACCCCAATGTAGGCATATATGACAGACATGGAGTGTTTGGGTACCCGTTTCATGTCACTTTTGGATGTCAGCCCAACCCGAGGCCGTCACGGAGCTGGCCGAAGTGGCCTGTGCCTTGGCCAGTGCCCGTGCCGGGGCACCCAACAGGCGAAAAGCACCGGCCGCAGGACCGTGGTATACCGTGGACATTTAAACATCCATCCGTCCATCCATCCATCGATCCATCCATCCATCGATCCATCCATCCATCCATCTATCCATCTATCTATCCATCCATCCATCCATCGATCTATCCATCTATCTATCCATCCATCTATCAATCTATCTATCGATCGATCTATCTATCTATATCTATCTATCTAATGTTTTGATGATATATTCCTGTCGGGAAGGTTTAGATAAATAGTTTCCTTTACCAGGTCTGGGCTTTGGTAAGGGCTATTTATGTTGGCTTGGCGGACATGAAAGGGTTGATTGTGTGTGTTTTTCATGCAGGGCCCGAAGATGTTTCACGCATCACAGTGTGATTTACCTTACTTTGGGGAGGAAGGCCAACAATTGTACCATGAAGGTCGGCATGGTCTAGTGCCTCCACGCGGCAAATGTTCGGGTGCAATCACTGGCCAGCAACTCTACCGAGTTTGTGGTACCTATTTCGTCATTTGGATGCCATGAATTCAGTTCATCATTTTTGTTGAGTTCTTTGACATGTTCCCAACACTAGCACATCGGTCCAGCAAGTGCAACCAGCTCGTCGAAAAGACCCAGAGTTCCCAGCCATGGAAAAGCTCAAAACCTCTTGTGATTCAAGAACCCCCCTTTGGGGGTTGCACTGAGTCCTCCTAAAAGCTTGGAGTCTTTTCTGATTGGAAAACCCTGAAAGCCACACCATCCCATCTCTTAGTGTTGTTGTTTGTTTAAAGGCAGGCATTGCTTGGGCAATTTGCTCAGCTGGGTAGTCCCTGGCTGCGCCCGTATCTGGGCTGCAGCCTCCGAGCCCATGGGCCCTGCCGAGTGTTCGACGGTCTGAGGTCCATGAGCCCGAAGGCTTTCACCAGTTGGGCGAGGCCATCTACCCGAACTTGCAGGCCCGTCCACCCCGACCCGGCGTCGACTCGGCGGATCCACAAACGGCACGGTGTTTTTTCGTGTGTTGTTTGATGTTTACGATCGTTTATATGTGTTTCTTTCTTTGCAGTTTGGTAGGGGATGGTGGAAGGCAATCATGAGGCAATGGTGAAAAAACTTTCCTCATGTCCAAACAGACCCGTGGACCCGGCCAAACAGACTTCCTAACATTTGTGCAACTCGGCCATTGATCAGTTAATTTGCAATGATTTAAATACTAACTGTATATAACTGTATTACTTACTATATAAATTTCCACTATTGATTCATGTTTACCAGACAACCAATGTTTTGCAATTCGAGAGGCACTGCCCGTGGACAACGAGGGTGGCAACTTGTGCTCGTTGCTTTGGGCGTTCAGCGAGGCCTCAATGTGTCAACGTGCCCCCCGGGCCCGGGTGCTGCACTACGTCGCCGGGATTCATGTCGTTTTTTGTGTTGATATGAGTTGTTGATCGGGGACTCCCTCATTTACTTCTTATGAATACAGCCCAAAGCAATCATTTAGACGTTGGCTCAGAATACCACAATGCATTGGAGACCTTTATGGAACATGTGAGGAACATGTGATGTCATGTGTTCGTCCGGTCAAACGAAATTAATCCAACCGGGATATTTAGCCCGGGATGGCAACGACCAAACATGAAGAACGTCGACATAAATATCTATCTTGCAGACAATGGGATACCAACAGTTCCAAAGGGGTGCTATCCATGGAGGATAGGGGTGCCCTTGTCACATCCACTCACTGGATGGGACAAAGCAACACCCCTTTGTGACTCCTATTACTCTATACGTTGGGGTGGTTGAAATTTGATGGTCATTGGGATGGCATCTCTTCCAGTGACAGTGCATGATTACTTGTATTAACTATCCTCCACCCTACAATATGCCTCACCAACATGTCAGTGACATGGTTTCTAGAAAGCTAGGACGTTCCGCTACAAGCAACCTGTTGTCCACCTCCAACGGATCTCAACATTCTTTCTCCAGTATCTTCCACATCACTTTCACCAGCGACTCCCACTGTATGGCTCGGGCACCCGTGTTTTATGGTGTTGGCAACCTGCAGGCAGGCATCTTGCATGGGGCGCTCTTTGACGCCCTGGCCACCGGCTCAGTGGTCGGAGGGAGGGACCTTTATCCTTGGTGCTGTTGTTTGTTTTCGGAGAGATCACTTGAGGACACTGGATGGCTTACTGAAAAACATTGAAAAACATATATATGATTGCCAGGTCGGTCCAAGTTCCTCCCGTCCTTTTCCCCTTCTCAGGAGCCGGTTCTGAACCGGGTCATTCCCCTTGTTTGGCTTCCACTTTTGCTTCCCGCGGCATCGGTGATTGGGTGGGGCAGGTGGAGCGCGCGGTGGAACTCATGGTCCAGTTCCAGCCCAAGGTGGGCCTTGGCTCAGGAACCACTTCAGTCCGGTCGACGGAGTGACACCGAAATCCCAGAGGAACAAGATCCCTAGGGATCCTGTCGTACCTTCTCAGAAGGTACTTGGACCCTCAAAACCTACACAAGAGTGTCGAACACATCACCTTCTGAGAAGGTGCTTGGATCCCTAGGGGATGATTGAGAGATGAGGAAACGGTGTGACAGAAGATGACATAAGATGACCATGTGATTCGGAGAGGGAGTTGATTTTTCCAGCCCCTGCAGCTGGCATCCACTGAATATGCTTAGCAGTACGTCCTTGCATATCTGCAGATACCTCCAGGGTCTGCAGCAAATTCCCGGGCAGGATCCTTCAATCCTGGAATCCTTCCTAATAATTCTGGGCTTCAGGTCACAACTCCACCCATCCAATTGGCCTCGATCACAACTCCTACCAGGTGTTTCTTTTGAACACCCCGGGCGTGCAGCGAACCCATTGCGTGAAGCCCCGGGCTCCCGCCCAAAACAAGCTGCGTGAGCAGGTCTTGTCGGACGTCCGCACGACGTGCTTTTGGTCCTTCCGCCGGGCCTCTGCAAGTTCGTGGGGACGAGGCTGGGCCGCGTCTGCCGCGTTCCGCGTTTGCCGAGTTCCGCGTGTTTTGGGTTAGTTAATCTGTTCCTGTTTTGGGGGGCTTTTGAGACCACGGAAGGCAGAAGAATGATGAAGGAAGAGACACAGGCATACACGGGCAAAAGACAAGCCCTGTTTTCACATCTTTTCACTTTCGTTTGAGGTATTGCTACCCTCCCTGCCTTGGGGGGAAGGCTTTGCGGAACGTCGCCCCTTTTCCTAAACAGCGAACTCTGGTTTGAAAGGGACCTACTGTTGGTTGTATGCTGGGGCCCTCAAGGTGTTCTTCTAGAAGACGGTTTTTGTCGACGAAAGGACCTGCAGAGATCTTCAGTGTGATTGACTCATTGAAACATTCCATGCCAACCAGGAGCGATCGGACGCTACGATCGGGGCTCCTGGCCTTTCTACTAGGAGTCCAGGAGCAAGAGGACGCTACTACTACTACTAATAACAAAGGGCATCGCTACTAGGAGCAAGGACGCTACTAGGCCTTTTTGGTTCACAAGTTTTCTTCGGTGCACCACTCTACACATGCTTTTGCTCATTCTTGTTCCAGGCGATGCTCGACAGGGCGCGGAGCGTCGACGGATCAAGGGAGCCCTGGGTGAGTCTCAGGTCCTTTTGACATATATAGCCACAAGTGCATGGCATGATTTGTGGGAAGACAATGGATTTGATGTCCATGTTCATAGAATAATAGTTCTTTTATCAAACGGTGGTCAACCCCATCACCAACCCATGGATTCGGTGTCCGCTGTACCACGTTTTCTATGGAACCTCAGCCTGGGACACATGGCTGGAGCTCAAACCAGACCAACCAGACCGCACATGACCCCTCAGACCACTCCACTGGGAATGGGGAACTCACAAAAACCCCGGACTCGTTGAACTCTCCTTTGGTCTCGTTAGTGTTGGATTACCCTACCGAGTCAACTCACATGGACCTTGACGGCGTTTCAGCCCCCTGGAAGGGACCTATTCTGTCTCTGCATGTCTCTACTGACAAGTGATTTTCAGGGTCCAGGTCAGTCTTAAGGGGTTAGTATAGGCCAAGGCAACTCGGGGTCTCTCCGATTCCGTGCGTTTCACGAATTTTCGGGAGTCGGACGGCCAGCAAGGAAACCAAAGGGACGTGAACATGGAATAGAAGCTTTGCAAAGCTTTCGAAATTTGGTACAAACACATATGAACCTTTGAACAATTCTGAAGGACCCGTTGTGTTGTGTTATACATTACAATCATGAATCGTTACAAATTACAAATTGGGTTTCAATATGTTTCAACAATAATGTACTTTGTTTTGGCCTTGGAAAAAATGTTTCACATACAGTTTCTTGGTTGGTGCATGGTACCCCTGGAAGAGTATAAACCCCGTTCAACAATATATATAGTAGCTGGAATGCCAAAGCACCTTAAGGTGGTCGCATTGCCGAGCACGCGACCCTCCACGTTGGGCGGCAATGGGGCAACTTTAGCTGCATGCCACGTAACTCCGGAAGTTTTTTGTCATTGGCTTCGGCCTTGGTGAGAGTAGCCAGAGGCTAACCCACTTCCAGTCCTGCTGGTCTGGAGCCTCCACCTTGTTCTGCTTGCTTCCCGTCGTGCTGCGGCTCTCAGGGGAGGGCGGGACGTGTGCACCCTCATCGACCGTCAACAAGACGGTGACGATGCGGCGCCCTCCTGCGAGAGTGGTGCTGTCTCCCTTAGTCTTGGGTCTTTGAGGTCCAGCAGTCGCTCCTGGCCAGGGCGCTGCTGTCTGCGGCTGGTGGGTGGCTGGTCCTGGGTGCTGAACCTGGTTTTTCTGTGTTTTTCTGGCCCTACGGTGTCCACGGCTCTGTCCGGCTTCCTGGTCCTTTGCTGGGGTGTTTTGGCTGAGTGCTGGGGAGGGGCTGGATGGAGGGGGCTGGGGCTGTGCGCGGCAGGAGGAAAAGGCGCCACTGCCGCTGTGCGCAGCGTCGACGCACAAAGAAGGCCCACCGCTGAACTTGCATCAAGCACCAATGGCACCAACAGGGGCGTAAGGTGGACAGCTCGGCGGGCCGTGGGTTGGGATGGGAATTATAACCTGGAATACGCGGAGGCTTGGGGCTGAATTCTCGAAATTCGACCAGGAAATGAAACTGTGGTGTTTTCTCCATATGGTCCTCCCCACGGTATAGCCGTGAGGGTGTGCCTGGCTGTGTGCCAGGAGTGGTCCTATCCGGACTGATGAGGTCGTGGATGTTGGTGGCTGTGACTGTGGGGTCTGGCTCCCCAGCGCTTGAAGGTTGAAAAAAAGTTCTTGGGGTTGCGGGGGTGTTCGGCCTATCTGAGGCCCGGCTACATGCTGGTGCCGTGGTATAGCCGCATGGGGGTGCCTGGCTTCGTGCCAGATGCTGTCCTATACGGACAGACAGGTGTCTTGCTCACTCGTTCGTCTGTCGCTTGCTCTTGGTGACCCTTCTATGTCCTCCAACATTTAGCTCTCAAGCAGAGCCGTGCCGGTGTGGCTCCTCTGTTCCTGACACCATGGCCGATGTTGGAGCACGCTTGGGGGTGGTGGAAGCAAACCTGGACCGTCTCCGGGGGGCGTGTGGAGAAGGTGGAAGATAGGGTGGGCAGGATTTTCACGATCCATGTAACCAGCCTGGATCATGAGGTTTGGTTGGATATGGGAGATGCGGCTACGGTTGGCGCATTGGCAGACCGGGGGGGGAAGTCTGGCTCAAGCAGGTCTGTGAGGCAGTCGGAGTGGGGTGGCCGCTGAGCGAGGATCAGCCAAACAGGGAGGACACGGTCACGGTAAGAGCAGGCGTTCGGTGTGGTCGGCATTATGGGCCTTGCGTGATGAGATCACGGCCAAGAATTTAGTTCGTATCGACCCGGAACGTCTGGGCAGACTGAGGCGGAACGTTTTCGCAAGCCAGGGCAATTTTATTCAACAGGGTGCCGTCGCCCTGCTGAAGCCCAGCCGAAAAAAAGGAAGAGAGCCCATGCCCGAAACAACGCCGACCAAGGAGGTAACCCTGGGTGGCAAGGGTCACGGGCGTGGCAAGGGGGAGAAAGGAGGTAGAAACGGAGAGAAGGGACGCAGTCGCGGTCGAGACCGCGGCAGTGGTCGCGGGCGCAACTGAGAAAGGTCGCAGGAAACATCGGTCAAGTCCCACCAAGAAGCCGTTACAGGGCATGAATCAGAAGGAGGCTCGAGGCAGGCTGCGCAAGAGCGATGAATGGCAAGATAAGTTGCGCAACAAAGGTTGAAAGGTGAAACTTGAAGGTTTTACGAGGAGGGTAGTCAGGTCAAGAGTGGGCCACACTGAAACCAATCTCGAAAAGGTGGTGGAGAAGAGGTTGCACAGGCGGAGGGCGAAGAGGAGGAGGGAGGGGAGACGGCGGGGGGCGGCATCACTGACATAAAATCTAAAGACCCTCACCTGACAGGTGGGGAAACGTTCGGCCAAGCTTGCACTTGAAAAAACAGTACCGCTCTGGCACTCCAGATATATTTCAATACTACGTTGGAAGATTATCTTGTTTATACATATATATGCATAGTGCTTTTTCTGAGCAAGCATCCTACCACTTAGCCGTGGATTGGAACCGAGCCAGGAGGTCGACGAGACTTTGCCTCGAGCGAGTTTTATGATCGCCTCGTGCCCCGCTAATTGGAAAAAATAGACCAGATCCATCCCATCAGTTCGGTGCCCTAGGGCTGTGCTTTGAGTGTGTATTTGTCGCCTTTGTTGGGCCACTCACTTAAGAAGGTGGCTACTTACAGTGGATTTCACTTTTTTGTCCAACATCCACCTCCAAGGCATTTTGACTGTGATCACGTATATCACGTGAAACCTGCCTGTTACAATACCTCCTTTAAAATGGATCACCTTCCACAAATTGGCTGTGGAAACACTGCTTACTTGTCCCAATTTTTGCATGCATGAGGGGCTTACCATTTTTGAGAGCATAATCATGTCTGAACCCAGGGAAATCATCGGCGTATTTGCATCGGCGTTGCAGTTTGGGAGAGACATGTTTTTTTTGACACACTGGGGGTTGCAGATGGCCTTTTGCCACATTGGTTTGTTGATTTGTAGGGGGGATGCCCACGCACGGTTGTATACAACCATTTGATTGATACCAAAATTGATTCCTTTAATAGTTTGAAAAGGACAGACATCATTAGGCCCATCCAAGGAACGGAATTTGTCAATTGGTCCATGCAAATCCTCAAAAAATGTCCGGGAAACCAAATTTAACCAAACCATTGAAATAATTGTAGTGTCATGCATATATATAATATAGATATCACCACCCATGATGTTCCTGAACATGCCGATGTTCGACTGAGGCTGTGTTTACCTCATGTGGAGTTTTGCCAAGCCAATGGTCCTTTGTGAGGCCAGTTCGATTTTGAGGCATGAAGGAACAACACATCCAGGTTTATTAATGTTTCTGTGTGTGTCATTAAATCCAGTTGCATTGCATGCAACAATCTTCATTGGGTTCACAGCACAACTTAATTCGGTTAGGAAACACCTCGGTGTTGTATCCTTGTCGTCATTTCCACACCAACCCACTCACATCTCACCAAACGCATGGCACAGGAACTCTTCAACGCAGTGGCGTCGAGGGTCATTCCAGAGGCATTTCGGACTCCCACGGCGCCCGTGGCTCCACCGGATGAACAGGGAATACTGAAGACTCGCACAACTGCGAGAATCGTGTCATTTTTGCATATGTCACTACCGTATTTCATATGTAGATGCATTATGTCATGCATTGGTTGAATACTTGGACCCTGCAAAGATGTTTTTCCCGTCTCGCCGGAAAACATGACGCAGAAAGATGCGGCCAGTTCGTTATGGCACACATGAGACCAAAATGACGCAGAAGAGACAAACAACGCAGAAGTAACGTAACAAAGATCAACACCCAAACCCAATTTTTGTGTGTGATGTTTTTGAGTTTCACCTGAAAATAGTGCCCGGTGGGAAGGACAAACACATACTGTACATACAATATATTTATGTATTATGTTTTTGTGGGGTGTAGGTTATGTATGAAATGTAATACACTTTCGGTGCAAACAGTTTCCGGTTCACTCGTTTGGGGTCGAGTTTTTCAGGAAACCCCATGTGAAGATACTTGGAAAGCTGTGTTCACTTAGCAGCTCAAGCCAAGCTGTCAAATTTGCATCCACAGGTTCGTACTTCTAAGTGAACAAAGCATAACAAAGTGAGGGCTCAGTTTTGTTGAATTCCAGACACTCCATGTATGGCATAATGTCAACGTCGGATTAATCAACGCGACCCCCCTTCAAGGTCAACAAGGTCAACAAGGTTCGATTCAAGATTGGAGGTATTGGAGGACCACGTCCCCCTAACCCTAATGAAGGTGATGACCTGATGGTGGATGATGAGATGATGACAAGATTAGGAAAGATTGGGATTGGGATAATTCGGAAAGAGATGAAAGAGATTGGAAGACACGATTCTTTCTTTGATTTGGATGATTAGGAAAGAAAGAGGCTTGCAGGATGAAAGAGGGAAGACAAGATAGAGGACAGAGTGTGGGATCAATAGGGCGAGGGGCCTCTACTACGAAAGGGTGGTAGGGCCTGTGTGAGGGGTACCCTTTGTGAGCTTGAAATAAAGATGTTGATAGAGTTTCAATAAGGGAAAATGACATAATGTTGCTAGCGAGTTTTTATTTGTGTTTTAACAGGGAAGGATGAGAAGAAAAAGCAGAATGAGAAGCAGAAGGAGGATGATAATGATGGATGAGTGGACCAGAAGATATTGGATACTGACCAAACATACTTTGGATATGTTACGTTTATATGTATTTTTTGGTGGCAGCTGGGCTTACGTTTATATGTATTTCAATATTTGTTTTTGGCCAGTAAAAAATATCAGGTCAAGGTGGAAATTTAGGTTTTAAATTAGTTTAGTATTGGGGGCTCAAGCTGGGCTTGTTTAATAGGGGGGTTACTTAATCCTAGGTTGACATTAGTTACCTACACTGGGGTGGTTTCAGAGGTCAATGTAGGCATAATATGTTCCTGTCCCATTTGTCGTGTTTAGGATTTAGGATTAAGTCAGTCACGCTCATCGGAACTAGTGGGAAATAAGACCGGAAGCGCCGCAAGGTCCAAAGCTTGGACCGCTGTGCTTTGGCCATGTTCGCTTGGAACTACGCCTACATCAATCACGATGTGCCCGAGGCACCCTTTGGGATTGGATACTCTCAGCGAATGGATCAGCTGGCAATTGGGGTTAGAGTGCTGCATGAATACTTTATTTGGATGCAGAAACTTTCATTATGTATCCTTTTAAAGTCTTGTTCACGGTTCTCGGGAAGTCCATGGTATTGCCTGCAAAAAGGCAGGTTTCTTGCACCTTGCAGATCGTTTTATACCCCTTTGCATGGTGTCAATTCTATAGATACCTGGTCACAACTGCATGCAACTTTGCAATTTGTGCACCGGTGGAAAGAAACACTGTGAATAGAACACATCTCGCAAGTGGCCAAGTTTGTTTCTCAATGTTTCACCCGCAGATCTAGGGTTTGGCTTGAAGTACGGCCACTTAGTCCTTTCACTGAACTACAGCAAAAACATATTTAAAAACTATCAAACTTAAAAGCCTTCAAGGTTTTCTATCCTTGTTGTTTCCCAAGCTGCATTTCCCAGTGGGCTGCTGGACATTGAACTGAACACGAGATCTGGCATCCGAGCTATTTCTCAGCATGACCAAGCCTATAGTCATTAGTCTATTTATTATGCATCTATTTATATGTCGATTTCCTTTGGATTCTGCGGGATCTACCGATCACCGACTGCGCCCCACGAGGTCTACCAGGCTTCGGCCAAGGAGGCCCTACGGCCCGCACGCCTGGAGGTGGGAACCGGACGGTGGGACCAGCGCGACCAGTCCACCGGGTGGGTCAACCAAGGACGTAGATACAACATCAATGTCCTTATCGCATTTCACCTACTCCCAGGCACCCATCACCAGATGAAGGGATGGATGGTGGAGATACCCCCTGGTGGATCTCTAAATATCCATACAGAGATCTGCCCAATGGTTTTGCAGCTCCCGGTTTGCTGCGTTTGGAGCTTAATGGTTTGCTGGTCCTTTGCAGCACCATCGTCGTCGCCTGGACGGGGCGAACCTCTGGTTCTGGAGCGAACGCTCGCCGAGCTCCTAGACCGGCCGCTGCGGGTCAGCGTCGAAGCTTGAGACTTAGCTCATCAGACATCATCAGAATCAATCCACCAAAAGGCACCACCAAGTGGTTAGACGGATGCGACCCTGAGGTGGTGTTCGACCCTGGTACCGTTTCGGGTTTTTCCGAACACACGCCGCGGCGGGTGAAGCTTCGAACTGCTCGCCTTCGTTTCACGCGCCAGGAACTGACGCCGCGGGACTTGGCGAACTTGATGCGGGCCTTCGCGAAGGTGGCACGAAGGGATGCGAGGCGTTGGTTTGTGCTGGGTGATGAGCAATGTAATAAAGTGGTAAAGGATCAGTTGTAGGACTCCTATAGGATTCTCAATTGCCAGATTCTTCAACATATTTTTAAATCTCAATTCTTCTCAATTGCCCAGATTGGAACAAGATGGAACAAGCAGTGCAAGCGCAGCATATCGTTTGTTGTTTTCTGGGCTTCTGGGCTTCTTCAACGGTCGTGTTCCTTTCATCCGTTCGGACCTCCCATGTTCTGTGAAGCCGGGAACCAGTCATAGGAAAGTCCAAGAACGGTTTGCATGTACTTTTTGAGGTAGTCGAGGACATGGAAAGAAGCAACATGAGCAAGCACTGTTCTGTAGAGTTGTGGGAATAAAGTTGGAAAATGCAGAAGATGGATTCACAAGTTTGTCATAGCACTCGTTGCGATGGCTGATGGTTGTACAATCCTTTGTTTGATCCACTTGAGGACTCATCCCCCATTCCAAGAATGGCCTCTTAAGCCTCGCACGGCGGCGTAGCCGCCCACGCCCCGCACCAGGCGGGTGTGCGAGAGGTGGAACTGATGCAGGCCCTCTCGGAGCACGGCTGCGGGCTCCTGAGGCTCGGTGGAGTCGGCCGCTTCACGTCGAAGGACGGAGAAACGGACCGGACGGGGTGCAGAGGTCTGGGCTATGGGCTATTGTTCAATCCATCAATCAATGGGGGGTTGATGAGTCTACATGATTTTGCTAAGACTTGATTGGTTCTGCTACCTTTTGGTGGTACTACTTGGTAACCTTAGTGATTCTTTGGTGTAACGAAGTAGTGAGCAGAACCAGGTGGGCCAGGGAGTGTAGGCATCAAAACGTAAGTTCTGTCCAGGATGGACAAGGGGGATGCCCCAAATCAAGGGAGACACCAAGTTCTTCTATTCCCAAGCCCCATAAAGGCTGTAAAGGAATCATTGGATAACTTTGTAATGGACACCCATGGACACCCGCTTAACCGGCTGAGACACCCCTCGGCCGCCGGGCCCTGGCACCAATTGCTGCAGGGATGGCATCGATCAGAAGTGTTACCGGCGGCCCATGAAGTCCTTGGCGCGCGAGATCTACGTGTGGTGCCCAAGATCCAAAAGGCTGAGTCGCTCAGCGGAACGTGCTGAGAAATGGCTCCCGGTGGATCGGTGGGGTGGGTAGTTGAGAAGGAGGCCACATGATGCTACACTAAGAACAGAGAAAAGACTAAGATAGACCTTAATTTTTAGGCCCTGCAATCTTGGGGCCTTTTAGGAAACGAAAGGCTTTGGGGGTCCCCGTTCTCCAGGTAAGTCATTTTCTCAGCTAGACATTCAACGTGGCAAGTTCTAGTTCGCAATGTTGAAGTTCAAGTTCTCCCTGGAACCATGATTGTATATATACATACAATATATATATAATTATATATGTTATATAAATAAACTATCCACGTGGATTGCACCATTTATTTGGCAACTATGTGGTATTCGGATTTCATGGTCATCCGAACTCGGGCCAGTTTGCTGTATGCCGAACTGGGCGGCGGAAAGCGGGGGCATCCCGCTGAAGCGGCGTGGTAGGGATGCAACAACACAGCCAAACCACCGAGGACGTTGCTGCAAATCAGGGGCCCAATGGCATCCAGTCACTTCCACATGGTCCATGGCATTTGGGTGTTTGGCAGTTTCTGTTTTTTTACTTCAACAAAGCAGCCGAGTCAACACCGACCCCATGGAAAGAGAAAAGCAATCAACACCGACCTCATGCGACATCGACATAGACTGGAATTTTCATCCTGTATGGACAGAATGTCCACTTGAAAGCTTCACAGGAGGAAGACTTCAGTGCGGTGGATGGGATGGTGGATGCCTTTGACATGGCCAGAGCCTCGATGGACGCCGACATGGCGCTTTAGGAACGGGCTGCAGATTCTTCACCAAAATTTTGCCTGAGGCATCAGAGCATTGGAAGATGTTTGAAAGGCTGCTGTGTAAAGGGATGAGGTGTAGGGAAGATTCTTTGGAAAGGGCTGCTGCTTCTTCAGCTGTGTAGGACATTGTTGAAGATGTTTGAAGGGAATGTTTGAAGGGAACCGTCTACAATTTGGAGGCATTGGAAGATGCGTTCAATGTTAAGAGCAGTGGTGGGGTGTGGGTGGAGCCCGCCCTTGGAATTATTTGATGATTTGCCTGGGCATTGAAATCAGGATTTTTAAACGCCACGGGCCACAAGCACGTAGAATCAATAGGAGTCATTTACAACTTACTGTAGATCTTCCCCATTTACTCTTTTCTGGGTCAGTCGTACACAGCTCCAGCTGTATCATCGGAGTTTTCTTCCAGAAAGGGTCGGAACGCAGCGGTCCAGGGGTATTTGAGCTACCCATTTCCAACAGAGGTTGAAAGACCCTATAGACATCTATAGACTATCCCATAGGTACCCCAGTTTATGGGTCCTATTTACGGTCACTTAACGTCTCTTGGTTGCGTGTGTTTGGTGGGTCTTTTCCCGGTTTCGCCTCCGGTCGCTCCCAGGTTTCCTTGGCCGAAATGTCCGGCTCTGAGATCGGGACGTGACTCCAGTGACGTGAGATCAGGATGAGGAAAGAGTCACTGGGCGAGACGATCAAATAGTATGAGATATTCTGAGTCCCTTTTCGTCATGGTGAAAAGAGTGTAGCCAGCAATGAAGAACGGGAGGGGTGTATTCCATTATGTTCCCATTGCCATAGCTTGTCGAAGCTCCAAGTCAGACACATCGGGACCAGGGTCGAATGGGTATTTGAAGGCTGGTGGTTTTAGTCACAACTTCATCAACCCACTCTGAAAATCTTAAAATCAGGGGCTCAGACCAAAAGTGTCATGGGGACTAATCATCACCCATTCTCAAGCTTCTTAAAGCATCCCCCTTTTCTTCTGTGACACAGATGTCGACACGAGGCGATGTCGAACCTTCCGGAGGGATCTGTTCTCGTCCGGGACACCTTTAAGTTGGAACCCCGAGAAGACGGCCCGGCCGGTCGCATTAGGAGAAGGCTGGCACAAGCGTGAATAAGATGTAAATCCACCACGCGCCAGCGTGAAGTAGGCTAGTTGCATAGCTTGAGGCTCTTCTATTGCTTCCAACAGGTTGGTTGTTGCTGGAGTACCAGGGTTGAGCTCCTTTGCCACCCGGTGTCGGTCATACCGAGGTTGAGCTCCTTTGCAGATCAACAATATGTCCACCATGACTTCCTCTCGCTGGCCGACGAATACATGATGGAGGCACCGGCGTTCCGCACCGGAAAGCGAGGCCGCACCGCAGGTGCGGAATTTGTTTTGGTGTTACTGGTGGAGTCGCATGTGTTGTTTCCAAGTCCTACTTATGTTCTTTTGCTAGCTTCTATGTACTTATACAGATTATATAATCGTTAATCATCGTTAATCTTATATACACTTTCCCTTTCAGAACGTGAAGAACAAAGGACTATGAGCTGTGATTCACAACATCTACGGATGTAGCCTTCAAGACAATTGCTGTTTCTCAAATTCTCATAATGTTACTTTTGTTCATTGCGGGTTCGTTGGAGTTTCCGATGGATCCAAATCACCAACTCTCGACACTTGACCCTCTGATGGGTCGTCGATGGGTGGACGACGGGTCGTCGTTCACGCAAACCAGGTGGACCATGTGCAGTTTCCTCAAAACAAGTCAACTTGGACAACTTCTAGCATGTTTGGCTGGGGAGGTCGAGGCTGCAGCGTCCTCACAACTATAGTGCTGTTCCAAAAGAAGGCCTGTAGTGGCTTTCCACAGAAACCTTAGCTAGCTCGATTGGGTTCCATCGACTTCACCCTGCAAAATATGTTTCTGGAAACAAAAACAACAACAATGTGTGCTTTCCAACGCTTTCCCTATTTATTTCTGATGCTTTCCCAACATTGCGCCTAAAACGAACTCCGTCCGAAAACTCGTTGATGGCAGGGCCTGCGTCAGCCGAAGAGAGACGTGGAGACCTTTCTTCGCTTCCCACAGGCCGCGGATCGTCGTTCCTCACAGATCGCGGCAGTCCTTTTTGCTTTGAGCATCGCTGGAATCGCTGGGCAGCCGTTTGGCTTGGAGATGGTTGACATGAGAGGATAAATGAGTTATATATATAAATATGTATATATAAACATATATATATATAATATATAGGAAAATACACTAATACACATGTAGACCCCAAATCCGAACACATCTATACACCCAAAGACCCACGGTTGACCCAGCTTGTTGTCTCGGATCTCTTGGTTGATTGTGATAAAGCAAGTGGTTGTTGTGGTTGTTGTGGTTGTGGTTGTGGTTGTTGTTGTGGTTGTTGTGGTGGTTGTTGTTGTTGTGGTTGTTGTTGTTGTTGCTGCTGCTGTTGTTTTAAGAATTGGGTTCGGTCAAACCTGGAGTCTTGGTCCGTACAGTACCCACACTCCCTGGTACCCGAAAGGAGTCGAAGGACGGGAAGGCGATCGAACGAGGATCTTCGTCTCGCCGGGAGGTCAACCAAGGTCTCCTGGTCGAACGACCCACGGCATTGGTTAGCCTTTTTCTCCACCTCCCCCATCCCACAGCATCCCACAGCCTCCCATAGCCCCCAAGCGACAGTCTTCTGCTCCTTCGTCTGCAGGTCTTTGCCCGGGCGCTGGTCTCGCGTGCAAGAGCCTACGTGGATGTCAGCGGCCCTGGCCTTGGTCGTCAGACAGCCTTCCACCGTCGACCGGACCAGGCAGAGACCGACCCCCTCGGTTCGGGAAGACTGACCACGGGGTCACGGTCTTCCTATACACCAGCGATGTTGCGGGAGTCTTGAAGCATATTATAGTTTTGTTGGCGCTCCAAGACTCGCGAGGAGAGGATTTGTTTGGACAATGGTGGAACTCGGCACGCGGCAGCCGTTGTGCCGCTGGTGTTCACCCTTGTGAGCCGCCCTGTCACGGCTCACAGGTCGGGAGCTCTTTCAGCAAGCGATGCCACATGTGGTGCTGGACGCCCCAGAGGGCATCGGTGCAGCGGGTGGCCTGCAGCGGTGCATTCCACGTGCGACACGACTGATGGGACTGGCAGAGTTTACATTTTGGGTGGTTGAAAACGGGTCAGTGGGATGGCACAAATGCCAGTCCCATCAGTCGTTTGTGGGTTCTGGAACTGGACTTGGTCGACTGAATGGTCAAAGAACTGGTGAGTGATGCGAACGTTGGTGTTACTGTAAATGTTTTTCATAGATTGATTTTATGAGTTCAATTCACAGATATCTAGATATCTAATCTAAGAATTATCGATGTAGGTAATTGCAATTGTGTTTTTTTGAACCACTGAGTTCGTTGCCTCTTCGCTGCGTAATCGAATCTTTGACGTCCCCCTGAGCCAAGGAGATCTCTCAAGGAGTTGAAGGCAGGGACGTTGGCTGTTGAAGGAGATCTCCCAATTCGCAGAATTTGCAAAAGCAAAGATCACTCACATGCTGTCACATATTGTAATGATATGTAATATTAATAACATTGATGTCTCAGCTCTTGAGTTTGTATACATGGTTGCCCCGTTTCTATTTATATTTGCGTCGATTCGTGATGCGGGAACAACTCCCACAATCCTGACCCGTTGAGTGTTGTTTTAGACCGGACTGGCAGCCATGTGCCTGATTGATCCCTGAAATCAACCACCCATGGGCGCCTCTCGGTAAATATGGCAGTCTCAAACAGGTCGTGTTTGGGAGATTGAAGGCATGGATTTTCTTGCTCTGTGGTGGCCAAGCGCATGTTGATGCATTTTGAGGTCCGTGGTGTTCATGTTCAGCTGCTTTAAAGTTATCTAGAGCCCTTTTGACCTTTGTTTCGAACACGTCATGTTGGAAAGCTTACTGTTCAATAATTAACCTATCCCACCTGCAAACCAATGGACAGGTGTATTTTTCCACAAAACATAAAACAACTTACGTTCCTGACTGTCAGGCAGTATAAGCCTCAAAAGCAACTCCCGACACTCCCATGGGACTGGCATATTTACAAACATTTGGATGATAGAACAGGGGGTCAATGGGATCCACAAAACACACCACACCACATGGAGCGTTAGTTAAAAACAAACAAACAAACAAACAACAAGCAAGCAAACAAGCAAGCAAGCAAGCAAGCAAACAACAACAACAACAACAACAACCACAACGACAACGACAACAGCAAAAGCAAAAGCACCAGCAGCAGCAGCAGCAGCAACAGCAGCAACAGCGGCAACAGCGGCAACAGCAGCAACAGCAGCAACAGCAGCAACCGCAACGGCAGCAGCAGCAGCAGCAACAACAGCAGCAACAGCAGCAACAGCAGCAACGGCAGCAACAGCAACGGCAGCAGCAGCAGCAACAACAGCAACCGCAACGGCAGCAGCCGCAGCAGCAGCAGCAGCAACAGCAGCAACAGCAGCAACAGCAGCAACAGCAGCAACAGCAACGGCAGCAGCAGCAGCAGCAGCAACAGCAGCAACAGCAGCAACCGCAACGGCAGCAGCAGCAGCAACAGCAGCAACAGCAGCAACAACAACAAGAAGGTGGGATCATGTAGGGCAAACCAAAACACCGCATCCATCCGCATTTTCATATCTTTTGGGAACATGATCATGCGGCCAGCATGGGCCACCAGACCTTCTCGATTTGTAGAGACCTCTCCAGAGACCAGGCACCTGACGTCTTGAGCCTTGTGGTGGTCCCTTGGCGATCACATCGTGGGTGGCACCACGCCTGGCCGTTTCTGGGCAGTCCGACATGGCAGTCCCTTTGGGATCAGACACCAACCTCGCCTGAATGTCATGGGCCTCAGCAGACCGTGACGAGCCGGTCTCCTGAGGTCCGTCCTGCGTGACCCGGCTTCACTCGGTTCGCCTGGGAATTCATGACCAACCCATTGATTTCGCCTGAAGGCCGAAGCACCAGCCGTGTTCTTCTAAGGGTTTTTACACAGAGCCGGACCAATCATTCTTTTGAAAAGGCTCTTTGAAGACTTTGAAGACTATGGTGACCTAGCTTTACTCCCTTCACTTCCTTCGTTCCAAAAGCTCGTTCTTGGTGCAGCACCAACCTCTGGTTCCCCGATGTTCCCCGTCGTGGCAGCGGCCTGGTGTCGCTCTTCAGAGGCTTGGGCCATGCTGGGCCCCAGGGATCCTGACATTTTGGCTGCCTTCGAGTCCAGGCCTGAAACACGCGGTCCATGTGGCTGCGTGCGCGTGCGCACACGCGCATGTGTGTGTGTGTGTGTGTCAAACCCTGTTTCCAAGGGTCTAATTTTAATTTAAAGCAGGGGGACAGAGCTCTCTGATGCTACTCTGTCCAACGAAGCTAGGCATCAGAGAGGGAAGCATCCACTGGCCATGGATGTGTACCTGCTTCAACGGTTGAACAAGCTGTCCAATTGACCTTGTTTGTTTTCATGGTTCTTCATGATACTCCCCCTAAACCTTCCCACCGCGTTCTTGCAACTGAGCCGCGCGTTTTCGTGAGCGTTTCGTTTTCGTGCTTTCTGCAGACTTCAAACCATTTTGTTCAAACATCTACAAGTTTTGCGGACTCTTCACCATACCGTTCTTCACCTTCCTTCCCAACGTGGCAATTGAGTTAACTGAAAACCAATGTCAGAGTGTGAGCCGCTCAGTCTTCCCACTTGGGTGCTGGGTGTGACCCTCCGAAAGGAGGCGCCGAAACCATTCCGGAATTCACTGGTCCTTCATATTTATAACTGACCCTTTGCTTCTTCACTTTCATAACTGAATTAACGGATTTTTGAGCCGCCGGGCCAAAAAACGGACAATCTCAACCACCGAATCCAGAGCCACCAGGCTATAAAACGGTAATCCACCCGCAATGAGGCAGGTTTCCCAACCCCCCCCCCCAGCCGAGTTCTACTCCCTACCTATTTAGGAACAACACAGGGAAAGGCACCGACACACAAGTGTGTCGAGTACCATTTCCCTATGTTGCCCTAAATAGGTAGGGAGTAGAACTCGGCTGGGGGGGGGGGG